AAAAACTAGATTTATTTTTCTTTGCAACCCACGACTTTGGTACGGTGCGCCGAGAGAAGAACGTCCCCTTCCAAGAACGGCAAGTCAACAACTGATTTATTTACACATATATACGTACAGTACATAGTACTGCCACGCGAGGCGCCACACAACATTTTAAACAGAAACCGAAACTGAACGAAACAGTCATCACACCGGCGGCGTTGGTCTGCTGTGGCCTTCGTTCTTCTCCGTCGGCGTCGCAGCCACAGCCAACCCATGGCTTCGGCGCGCAGCGCCGACAGAAGCACGTCTGTCTCGCACCGGGTCCCGTAACCAACTGATTTATTTACATATATGTACATATAGTACATAAAAATGCCACACGAGGCGCCACATAACATATGAAGCAGAAACCGAAACTGAACTGAACAACACGACACAACAAGTTTTTTTTTTCTTCTGTAGAGCCGTGTCTGTGAAGTGATGGAATAAAGCATAACTTGCGTTGTTTGGATTGACTCGATGACTACAAGCTATTTTAAAATATTGGTATATTTCCCAATTATGTATTTGATTTGCAATTTCGGTCCTTTTTGTCTATTTTTCTTCATCATGTTTGTCTTACAAGGGTGCGGCCCGTTGCCCACATCGCCCATTGCAGATGCATGGCATATTTGAGGGTAATCATCGTCATTATTGGATGGTAGCCATGGCTGTGCCTGGAACGGAGCCTTTCTCCATGTCGTGCGAGCCTCCCAAGATGGGCGAATCCTCGCTCAACGAAGTCACCAGAATTCTCGGGGATCGTCCAAGGAGGTCCAGAGAGGTGAACTCTCTGGTCACCAACGGTAAGAGCCCTCCCCTGTTTTCCGAAGCTGCCGATTAACCCCGTAAACTTGAAGTAGAAGTAAAGAAGAAGAAATGAGCGTGGGCAGGGCATATAGTGTGAAGCTAATATAACCGCTGGTCATTAAGTCTGACTAATTGGGATTCAAGAGAAGGCAAGCATGTGAGGAGAGGAATCTGGGTAGGTGCACACATGATATTGAGAAATTTGAGTAAATAACGTGGCCGCAGCAGCCACGGGAGCGGTTTAATGGAACAAATAGGGGCGATGCTTTTGCCTTGCAGTGGACGTTGAAGGACACCTATTACAGACACATATACAACAGAAACCCGAGTTACTGTATATACTGCCTAAAGGCAGCGTATACAGCAACTCTGAGACATATAACGCCCTCTCGAAAATTGTGGGCTAGTTGTCTCGTACACTGACGATGACGTGGACAAGGCGGATATCTGGGCCGTTTATGCCACGCAACGATAATCGTACGTATATCCCCGCGTGTTTTTGCTTGCTTTATCGCCATGTGCACCCTCAGCTTCCGAGTCACAAAAGGCGTGCGGCCATTAGTGTCACGTGACATTTTTGACAGGCACGTAGCGAGTGCATGGTTTTCAGGAAAGCAAGCGGAAGAAAGTCAGATGATGATTGTGGATGTGTGGCAGGGACGGGCGTAGTCAGACTTACTCTTTTTTTTTTGGTGGTGGTGGTGGTGGGGAAGGGGGGGCTGTAGTTACTATCTTATTCTTGTATGTGTGCGTATACAAACACAGGCAAATACTAAGTGCGAAATTTTCACACTGAGGAGTGGGGCACCAAAACGCCGAACCCCCTGGATATAAGGATAGGCAGAATTACGACACCAAATACTCTCGTTTGCTTCATTGTGTACGTCACAGGAAAGGTTATTTACTCCCACAAAAAAAAGTTAGCACGACGATTGTAAGGCTTTATCAGCCCTAAAAAAGTGTTCGAGCAAAATTAATGGTGCACCGGAAGCTTGTTTACGTGAGAGCAACTGCTTGTGCTGTGATTAGAACCATGCGCGTACGATTACATCATTGTAAGAAAAAAAACGAACCATAGAATATTGTTGAAGACTGCAACAAGGACTACTCTCGTAATTGTCGGCAGGTTTTTTTTTGGGGGGGGGGAGAAAAGGGGTGGAAACTAGTGTTGCATCGCGGCTAGAGGAGGGGCAAGCGCTGTTGTGAGGGCAAGCGCTGGTAATGCTTGAGGGGAGCAAGTGCCCCTTCTGCAACCCCCTGCCCACGTCCATGACCACTCCAACTTCTTTCTCCAGTGTTAAGTATGCATTTATACCACTGGTTGGTGTTAAAGGTATCCAAGACGAGAACTCCTAGAGAACTGAGTAAGTTTAGACCCACCAGTGATCCAGTAACGTTGCCACCAGTGCCACCCACAAAAGGGAGCCGCCGGTGGGACCACCGTTCGCGACTCCTATCGGTGTCTTGCGCGCGGTGAACGCCGCACATTTACGCAGGAATATTTCGTTAAATATTATCTAAAAAGCTTCCATCAGGATAATCTTAGCTGGGTGTTAATTTATATTTACAAAATTCTCGTAATGAACAGCCTGACACTATATCAATGTGTAGTTTTAAAATTTCAGTTAGAAATGCAAGGCTAATTATTCTTTTAATACAATATTTTGATTTCCCGTGTGCATGCATTTCGCTCAATTATATATATACTCACACTGAATGGCAGGATAGCGCTTTCTGTCACAACCAAATATATGTTTTGTCATCTTTTCACTCGAACTATTTTAAGAGCGTAAAAGTGTGCCACGTACAGCAGCAATAAAGTATATTGATCGTTATCATCGCTTCTTTTTCAGCTCTTCGAAGTTTCCAAGGTAAGTGCCCATGCCTATATATATTTTCTATGCGGAATATAGGTGTGGTATCCTTGATTTCACTGACGAAGGTGCTCTTATGAAGCTCTGACAACATAAGAAAAAAATGTTGTTACATACAAGCGTCGTACCAACTGAGCATTGTGGTATTTAAAAAAAAATGAAAAAGCCCATGATAGCCATTTTCAAGATACAACTTTAATAAAGCTTTGTACTTCTCGCACCAAAAATTTTTCATCTTTTTTTAATCTGTTGCCGAACAGTGTAGTTCAGGAGGTCATATTGTTTTGCGTTGTTTTTCGCTCGCATGTTTACTCTGCCGATGTATTTTGAACGAGTTAAATAACTTCCACAATCGTATGATATTTGCTACGTTTAGCTCGTGATGTCGTACTCCCACTGCGCGTGCCTGCATATTTGTTTCACATCTGGGCGTGTTTCGCTTTGTGTACCGAATTGCTCGGCTTTGTTATTTGTGTTTGGTTACTACTTTGAGATGAGCGCGTAAGGAATCCGGCTCTCTTGGTAGGGCGATGTGCAACGTTGTGCAAGTTAGCATCCTAACTATACACCCCTGTGTGATCTGCGTAACAAATTTAGTCATGTAAATCGGTCAACCAGTTGCTCTGTGTCCCTAAATAGAGGGAATCAAAGGGGGCACCATGCTAAAGTGCCTGCTCTGCTTAATGAGCGAAGCAGCGCATGGGCATAAGTGCTCGAGAACAAAAGAAACGATTCGGCAGGACCACCCCCACACTCCGCACGCATAAGCGTGTGCATGCAGGCTTCCTCTTCAGGGGGGCGCAAGTTTGCCGCAGCGCCCCCCACCTCGCCCATCAAGTCAATGTATGGAGATGACTTTGCGCCCCCTCGCCCCCTTTCCCAGTGCACGTGCCTATGCCTGCACTTGTAGCTAGTTGGTAAAAATAGCAGCGTTAATATATTCACCTTTTCATAAACGCCTCCCTCGGCGCCGCCATAACCCTCCTTGGGCTGTGCAAATTGGCGCGTCCCCTCGAAAATGCAGTGACAACGCTGCGCCCTTAGCCTTTGTACTCCCGCGCACAGCCCATCATGGCGGTGTTTTTTTCCTTCCTGTGAAAAGGTGTATGCTCACACCAGCGTACCAAGTGTAGCAATGAGTGGCTAATACAAAGTTCGAACTTTTCTTCATCAATATTTCAAAAATGAAGCCTCACAATCACCCTGTGCTGCTGCATGATGCTCGGCTGATGCTATTCTCTTTTCGCTTATTTATATAGGAAGCTTCGATGATTTTTCTGGTCAGCTGATCCCTATGATCTGAAAGTATTTTTCTTTCAGTGAAAAACAGCTAGCAGCAACGTCGCAACCAGCTGCGCTTTGAAGTGCCCCTAAACATTCTCTGGTAATTCAAATGACGAGCGCGTCATTCCCCCCTGGCTTTTCCCGTCTTTCTGAAACTTCGGGACGCTAGCAGTTGTTCGCATGAATGTCATGAGGAAAGTAAGCTCTCCATTGGTTCACATACGAGAGAATGCCGCACGTTGTCTCCTGCTATGCATCGCCATGCAGTCACGCTTACATTCCGCGTTTTCTCGTGTATAGACCCATTCCATGTTTGTAAACAGAGGTAGGCTGATGTCGACATTACGGGTAAACTTATAGCGACGTCCGCACGTAACTTCCGCCATAAGCGCCGAGGGCTGCGATGTGCGCCAACAAACAAAACTAAGTTGTAAGACGCGACTCACATCCAACCGCGACGCAGCTCGTCAGCATACCGTTTTAGGGGCGAAGCTCCTTAGGGCGTGGGCTGTGCGTCCCCTGTATGTAGCCACCTCTAGTTTAGTTCTCGCAGTGTTGACTAGATGGCGGTACCGTCCCCTGTATGTAGCCACCTCTAGTTTAGTTCTTGCAGTGTTCACTAGATGGCGGTACCGTCTCCTGTATGTAGCCACCTCTCGTTTAGTTCTTGTAGTGTTTACTAGATGGTGGTACTTGTAGCTGATGATGAAAAGATGCAAGATGTTATAAACTAGAAAGCGGTACTTGTAGTTGATGAAAGACGCGAGATCTTATAAAATAGGAATGATGTCACATATGGCGCGTGTTATTGGTTGAAGGCAATCGTTCGATTTAGTGCGGCGACGTACGCTAGGGAGAGCGATGTAATAAAATCGAGTGGGCAAAATGTACAGAGGATTCATGGTTTACCAGGTTTACCTCAGGAGCTTCGCCCACTCATCATCATTCACTTCGTGGATATGGCGGCACTTTTTCTTTTCTCGTTGCTTGACTGAGATCACCACATGTACCATTGAAAACCCAGCAAAAACTGCGGTAGACAGAGCGTCGTTTGCCTACCAAGACAGCGCCAGCGCATTTTCGTGATGTAAGTCCGGTGGAATTCGTCTATAGTGCTCGATGAAATAGTGTCGCTTCGTTTTGTGCGTTTTCGACTGCGCTATACTCGGGGACAACCTTCTGTCATGGTTTTGGGTCGTGAAACCCCACATATAATCATCACGATTTTCTGTGGCAGTGAATGAAAGGCTACGGAGGCAAAGTGGGCATGTGCCACCGCTGTAGACTATAGGTCCGTTCGATTCGCTTGCACCACGTGAACCAGTTCACGAGGTGCTGCACCTTACCATTCGTTTCAGCGGTGCAACATTGACGACCGCTGAACCCTGCCATTCGTTTCGAAAGGTGCAGCACCGGTTCACGATTTTCCTGCACCTCCTTCGCTGACGGTGCCGGCTTGGTGCAGGCGCGCGTGCAGCTGAGCAGACGACGCAGCACTTAGACGTAGGTGGCTTAGGCGCCGTACCCGCCTCTACAAATGCGGTGTGTTTTGCCAAGATGTTTGCGACTCATAAATTGTCCGCATGTGCGTTTCGCCATAGGTCAGTGTTTGCTGAATGGTGTAAATTAACCGAAAAGAAATAAGGCCAACACCTTGTCGGCACATCGTCATTTGTTTCGGGTGTCGTGCTGTGCCTGCACCGCTGAACTCGCGCTGCATAATTTCTGAACTTCGCGTGCACAGCCGTGAACCGGTTCCGACCGGTGCAGGTGAATCGAACGGACCTTATATTGCCACAAATGCGTCCGTGTTTTCCGCGCGAAAGTAATAAAAAAGAACAACATTATTTACTCCTAGATGCTGTTTACAAAGAGACGCTACACGCGCTGTAGATATACCGTTATTTGTTTTTACTTTGTGAAGTGACATTTCGTGTTTTTGCGTGTCTGAAAACGTTGCACGTTTTACGTGCAGCTCACAGTCAAAAATGGCGCCTTCGTCCATAGTTGAGCGCGCGTCGCGCTCCAGCTATTCCAACGACTCGTCGAAGGAGCTTGTGTCGAATTTCTGTCGCAAATGGCCGTGTAAGCAGGCGTATCAATATGGGTGCAGTGGGACTATGTGAACGCGGCCTTCATTCGAAACGCGAGCCGAACCGGGCTACTAGGAGTACGGGAGCAGTAGCTCCGCCCACGTAGCCTTCCCTTCATCGCCACAGAAAGTTGTCCCCGAGTATAGCAACGTTAACAATTCGCAGCCAAAACGTGTGAAACACTGACAAGCTCAACGCATAGTGCCAATATTATCCACGTGTTTTACGAAAAAGTAAGTGCCGAGGATAAGATAGCACCGGCGGGAAAGAAACCGCGTTCATGTTATTTTAACTCGCAGTGGTTTACGGGCCTTTTAGTATGTCAATGAATGCTTTTTGTGAGGGAGCTTTTGTGTTCCAAAAGTGTTCTGTATTGTGTCCTTGCGCTGCATTACGCTTTAGTATGGTCAGTCGCCACCAACACGGTTACCACCTCGCCAAACTTTCAACTTTACCGAACTTTTGTTCGGTGAAGTTGAAAGCACGCAAGTATGTTTCTGTTCGTAATTAATGCTTTTTGACGTCGTGCAGACTCGAGCGGCTCCTTGATGCGCTGTGGCGTCGAGTCTTCTGCCACGGACAGTGAAGGACGCGCTGCGTCATCCTCCTCGTTATGTTCATCATCGTCGTCGTCGTCTTTGTCCACCGTCGCCTTCTTCACGACAGTCTGCGGACTACTTTTCGTCACACTGCTCATCGCGTACTGGACGAACGCCAGGCGTCGCTTCGTCTCCATAACCGACCTAGTCGTGTCGTGTGGAACCTCGGAGTGCAAACTCGCGTCAGGCTACCTGTCGACGCTCGTCGATCGCGACGTCGAGCCTTGCGACGACTTCTACCAGCACGTGTGCGGCAAATGGACCCGGGAGCGTGACGGCCTTAGCTTCCTGGGCGACGCCTTCCAGAGGTACCTGGCCGACCTGCGTCGCCGGCTCACGTCGCCTGACGTGGAGACGTCTTCCGTGTACCCAAAGCTGCGCTCGCGTCTTGCGGTGGGAACCCGCTTCGTTCGAGACTGCTTTCTCTACATGGAGGAACCCGAACCAGACGTGAAGCGAGAAATTGCCTCCATTCTTGAGGTGCTGGACTTATCGGGAATCCTGGTCTCGGAGACGTCTTTCGACGCGTTGCTGCAGGCGCTTTCGCTTTCTTTTACCACGGGCCTCGCCTCCCTGGTCGGGATCCGGAGACGGAAGTTGGGAGATCGCGTCTTCCTGCATATCTACGGCGCGAGGTCCATCCGAGAAGAACTCCTACCAGAGGCGGCGGACGGCGTAGTCCTGTCTTACCTTTATAAGGTCGTCCGCGCCGCTTCTGGGGACAGCGCCCACAGCGACGCGCTCGCAAGCTCGGTGCTAGCTCTTGACGTGACGTTGGCCCAGAAGTCGCACGCCTTCTCACGTTCGCCCGGCCGACAAAGAAGACGACGACGTGTGGCTGCACGTGACCGACCTGATAGGGGACGCCGACTTTCCCGCTGGCTTGTGGGACGTTGCCTTCGGCTCTTTCAAGGCCAACGAGCCCGTACGAGACCATGACAACTGCCGTGCTGTTTACACGGTTGAACGCGTCGCGTTTGGCGGCCCGGCACCTGGAGCGAACCGATGGTCAACGTCACCGCCTGGTACTTGGTCGCAGCCACGCTTTCCCGCGCCTTGCGTCTCGACTTCGTCAAGCGGTTCGGTGGCAACTATCCGTACAGGTGAACGCCTAAGTGGCGATCTGGCCGCGATGCTAGCTGTTTATCGCATTCAAGGACACCGTGCTTCCCGAACCATTTTCGACCACAGCTCCGTAAATTCGAGATGTTGTCCGTGACAATGTAGGACCATTACAACTTCTGACGAAATGCATCTACCGCATTTATTTGTTTGTTAAGGGGTCTCGGTACAGATACGTGAATGAAACTTCGGCCCACGGTAATGACACGGAGAAATAGACAAGACAGAACGAAGTGGTGACTTCTAACAAAGAAGAGCTTTAATCGAAAATAACCTTGCACAAATTTACAGCCCCCCAGGCCACGCATGCACATGAACTCACGGCAAAGTGTAGCGGGGTGTAATCTATCGCGTTTGCTCAACGGCTATCCACTCATTATTCTGCTTGCCTAACAGATGACGCCAAAAGGGGACATGCTTTTTTCAGTTGTCAGGTTGATGACACTGCTTAGAATTACTGTATATGCTACCTATATACAGTAACTCTACCGATGCAAAGCGCACGAAACGCACTTACGCGTTCCCTTGTTCCCTTTCATAAAGGACGATACTATACTCTTCGCTTTGGGTATTTTGCGTAAGGCGCCACTGCTGGAATCTGTAGAGCTGTGTTAGTGAAGTTAAGATCTGTACGAAGTGACTCGAAAATGAAAGCAACCCAAACTGTCCCGTTATTTTATACTTGGTGATATTTGTTCGATCTCCTTTAATACGCTATTCGCTCGTATGACGCAGCGTGTGTAACGTGCTTGTATGTAAAGTGTCAATTTTTTATGAAAGGGAACACGCGAGCGCGTGGCCCGTGCGCTCGGCAGCTGCTTGTAGCGCGTTCAAGCGAGATGTGATAGCAACCACAGCCGCTGTTCTCGCAATCTAGTGGCGAGCAAACCAAGTGGTCAATGGTGATATGGAACCAGCGGCAAGAAAGCAACCCTCTCCTTCTTCAAGGTGATTACCTAAGGCTGGGGGTGATTGCCTTGAAGGGGGAGGGGGTTGCTATCTTGCCGCTGGTTCCATATCACCAATGACCGGTTGTTTTTCTTGCCATGGCAATGTAGTGCGTTCGAGTGGTTGCTATCGCTCCCGCTCGAACGCGCTACAAGCAGCCGCCGGAGCGCTCGGTCTTCGCGTTCGCGTGTTCATTTTCATAAAAAATTGACACTCTACGCTGCTTCAGGTCCGAACATCTCTGCCTGGACGCGGCGACAAGGGCATTGGAGCCCGACTGGCCTCTGGTACTGGCCACGTTGGCATTTCCACACGCCGACTTCGGGGGCGCCAATGCGCTCTTCGACGGCGTCCGCCGCGCCTCCATGGCGACGACGCCCGATTGGCTTGACAACGTCACTACCAGGAGGATTCGGGCCAGGCTCCGACACGTCACGCTTACCTCATTCGCCACGAGTTTCGAGAGAGACAACGCAACGATGGCCGAGGTGAGTAGTGAGTGTTTTCTACGCCGACTTCAAAAGTGTTCTACAACACTAGAAGAACTAGTTCTTGGCGTAGTGTGTTTGACATCATTGAAATTAAACAGCATCGTGAAAAAAAGACACGTCCATAAGTAAGGGTGCAGGTACAAACGCAAGCTAGCATGTGGGGGGGAACCACTGAATGAATAGGAAACTGTAACGTTGAAATCACGTGTGAAAAAATCAAGAACCCAGTCCTGTTACGTTATGCACATAAACTTGATCACATCTGCCCCACTAACTTCCATGCCTCCCACAATATACACTTGCTTTTTCTTAGAATCTAAACTGTTACAGTTCATTGTAGGGCACAAGAGTGGAAACTTGGGCTAGTTGGTGCGTAGTCATATTTGCAAGATGTTTCAGCGCGCGAACAAAGGAAAAAGGACTTTCTTTCTTTCTTTCTGTCTACCCTGTCCTTTTTCCTTTGTTCGCGCGCTGAAACATCTTGCAAATATGTCATTGTAGGGAGCACGAAACTTTGCTAGGGCCAGGCACAAAAAGAAACCAATCATAAACGCCTACTTCGTGGGACAGTTTATTGCGATCATCATGGGTTGCTCGCAGGGGCGGCGCCAGGCTAGAGGGCCCCCATCGAGAAAAAAAAAATCGCCTCCCTCCCCCTTGGAGGGGAACCCTGCGTGCGCCTATGGTTGCAGGTAATAATATGTAGCGAGAGAGACGAGACGTCGTGAAGGCGGCCGACGTGGCCGTGCCAATCTCGCCACTTTATTGGGGACTGTTGAAGTAGAGCGCCGGCGGCTGCCAGCGTACAAACCACCATGGTGGTGAGTTCGTCCTGTCTGCTCGCACCTCGAGCAAGGTCCTCGAGCTAGGCATTTGCTGCGCGAGAAGTATAGTGGCTAGAAAGGTTTCTAGCCACTATACGAGAGTCGCGACACAGTGGTAAACGATGCTGATGATCATAAATGGCGATGAAGATGATGCGCTACATGTACTTGTTGGGTTTTACTTTCTAAAACAACGATATGATCATGAGGGACACCGTATAGTGGAGGGCTTCAGAAATTTCGAACATCACGAGGTCTTCAACATGCTCCTGAATTGTGTGTACGCGTCTCTAGCACTTCGCCTCCGTCAAATTACAGGTGCCGCGGCCTGGATTTGATCCCGTGACCTTGAAGGCAGAACAACACTCTAAAAAACACACCAAGTAACAAGGGTGTCTTCTTGTCCCACAACAATAATCTGGCTTGCTTGCGCTTCGTTTCTTGAAAACTCGGCGCTGGCCACTTTCCTATCATGGATGCCATGCCACGCTGATAACGCGCATATCATACTAACAGTATTGCAAGATTACAAGATTACAATTATTTTTGTGGGACAAAACGAAGCTCTTTTTACTAAACCTTTTCTTAGAGTGAATAAGTAAAACGGAGCAAATGAAACGCGCACAAGTAGATTTCGCGCTGTTTTACGTTTGAATGCGCACAACCAGGCTCGCATTCGGACGTTATCGAAATGCCAACGGCTTTTATAACACAGGTCGGCAGCAGCTTCGTGCGGGCGAACCGCAGCTTTCTTGCCCACTACGTGACTCTGCACCACGTCGGCCAGGAGGCCTCGATTCGGGATCCACCGAATGGTCTCAAGGGAGCCCTGTCTTCCGTCGAGCTGCACGGTCGTGTCGTCTATAGTGACCTGTTCGCCACGGTGTTTCTGCCGCTGGTGTACCTCAGGCATCCCGTCTTCTACAACGCCTCGGTGGCCTCGTACTACAACTACGGCACTCTGGGCGCAGTCGTGGCCAAGGAACTTGCCGAGGCTGTATCCCCGTTCTCTCGAGGCGACGACTTTGAAGACGTCGGAAACGAGGACAGAGGTGGGTGCTCTGGTCCTTCTCGACTACTACGGCAGTATCTCGGTGAAATGAAATTTGAACAGTACGCGCTGTGCTGCTTCGCATTTCTTTTCAAGCGTTCTTTAGTGCGTATGGTAATAAGATCTTGCAAGCCTGCAAGATTTTGTTATGTGTGCATCCAGCTCAGTATACTAGGAGACGGAAGCCACCATCTTCCTCTCCTGCTAAGACTGTTTCAATTATACACAGGATTGTAGAGCCTCTACGTTGACAGCTTAGAAGACAGAATCGAGCTCAAGGAGGTTTATTTTTAAAACTCCTCGATGGAGTCCAAGTTTTCCGAGAAATGAGACACGTCTGAATTGGTCTGGATCATTGTTTACAGAAAACTTTATGATCTGGATGGCGTCTACGCGACGAGAAGCCACCTCGCGTCGAGAAGAGAAGGCTAAGATAAACAAACGTATTTGCTTTAGCTTACTCCGTGGTCAAATCTAAGAAAAATTCAACGTTAGCGTTGAATTTTTAACGATTGAGCTCAGATTGAGCGTTGGCAGAAGCGCTTGCTTGTGGGCACACGAATATTCACGCGAAATCCGAGCTATCTGAGCAATTCGCTGAGCCGCCATCTTGTTTGGGCAGCAATGTAGCCTGCATCGTTTTTGTCTACGATACCGTCTTCTCGAAGGTGTCTGAAAACTGAAATGAGACTTGAGATAGACGCCGTACACTTAGATGTTTATTTATACGTCTACCTTTAGTATTGGAACACACCCTAAGTCGATCTGTTGAACCTCTATTCATCTCCTTTCGAAAGCCTTCTGCAACTAACGTGGTTTTGTAATGCATCCCCGACTGGAAACGCTTTAAGCACCTTACCTTTTTTTGAAGTACCTTCGCGCTCAACATGTGACCTCATCATTTTTAGTGATTTGTGATGCCATGAGGACGTAACACGGGGACGTCATCACGTGATTTTTTCATCACTTTGTGTTGACGCCACCAACGCGGGACAAAGAGAAAGAGAGAGAGAGAGGAGAAAGCTATTATTTTCGACAGATTGTTGGGCTGGGCTCCCTTTTAAGAGCTTATGGAGAGACCATGTTTCTTGGCAGCTTAGTCGGTTTGCTAGATTAACCAGTGTTGCTTGTCCAGGCCCGAGCTGAGCAGCACAGTCTGCCAACGCACCAGATGGTCTTCACAAGCCGTGACCCTATTAATGCAGAATAATGCTAGACATCCCATAGGACTTGATCAAGCGTGCACCATGGCTGTGGTGGTACAGTACTGGCATAGATTAGTTCTAATAACTTTGGGATATATGTATAGCGCAAGATGACGCGGTTCGTGTACGCTCGTGCTTGAAGGGCTGCCATAGAACTGACTTGACCCCTTTTAGCTTGGTGAGCCGGAGGGTATTCCCACTTTTGCATGTGATAGTGTTTAGTTATTCCTCCGAATTCATCATCACATTTTCACACCACCACAGAAACGTTTGCCTGGGTGGCTTCTTTTCTAACGCGCCTCGGAAGGTATGACATGAAGCCACGTTGTGTGCCACTTCGTGGCACATAGTTCCTAGTGCGCGCCTGGTCAGTGCACACCTAGTGATGAGCAGTGACCTCCTGGTGACCCATATAGGGGCGTGTGGGCAGAGAAGCAGATGATGTGCACGCGTTTGTGTGCCACGTGACTTTACCCGCATTTAAGAAAAAAGCTCGCAAAAGTTTTTCATTCGTTGTTTGTATTTAGGATCGGCAAGGCCTCGGGGAAGATTCTGCCACTGGCCTGATTTCGCATGGCCGTTTTTCAGCCGCTGATGGTATATGAGGCGTTCTTGTGGGCTATGGTACAGCTATTGCCACTTCCTCTGCCGTTTCTACGCGTCTTGTGATAATTAATGCGCTGGCTTAGCATTATTGTGTGAGGTATACGACAGCAGCCACGAAGCGGTGACGTTCCCGATAGCGGGCTGAGTCGGCATAGACTGTCTTGTGGTTGTGGCGACACAGTTTGGTCATGGCTCTGACTCTACTGCACTTGTATTCAGGGTCAGGCCCGTCACCAGGAATGTTTTTTTGGGGAGGGGATAATTGGTGAAGACCTTAAAAAACACCTATTTTTGTTATATTTCATCGGTAAAACACCCTGTTCTATCCGGTTTTCTCAAAGAAAACCAAGCCCCCCTCCCCTCCCCCTGGAACACTGGCTGCACCCTGAACATGCACCCTGTTCAGGGTGCATGTTCCTGGGTATGATTGGAACTGCGAGTTTAGTACTGGCGTGCGAGGTATGTCGTGTTTGTCTCCGTGTTGAGCGTAACTGTAGGCGATTCCGATATTCTGGAGAATCTGGCGGCCTGGTTTTGTCTTGGTTGATTGCTCGTATTGAGATATTTGTTTTGCCTCGATACGCTCCTCAAGAATATTGTTTAAACTTAGCTAAAAAAGAGTTGTGTGTTGGCTTTCATCGTGCTTGTTTGTAGGCTTCAAATGAGGCTGTTGAACCATCTGCTGTAGGCCGCCGCATAGGCGATGTGGCTGAGTACGAATGATTGGATCAGGCAGAAGCTGCGAGACATTTTCATGCATCTGTATTTATTGGTGATGCGCTTAATGATGCGCATCATGTTCGACAGCTTGACGTGCTGCAGGTAAATTTTCGTGTTTGATGAGGCATTGAAAGATTTCGCCTTGAAGAGTCAGTAGAGCTTCGTGTATGATGAGGCATCCAAAGATTTCGCCTTGAAGAGTCAGTAGAGTCGCCCATTATACGCTCAGAGACTACTCTCGCATCTTTTTATTACTACCATGGTCGGAGCGCGATGAAAATAACGCCGGCACAGTTCGCCTTTCTTTCCATCACGCCTGCACACTGGATGTGCCACAGAACAGAAAAATAAACAAAACGCTGGGAATCGTCAGAGGCGTAAGCAGAACTTTTTTTTTTTTGGTGGGGGGCGGGACCTCCTTGATCTGAAGTAGAGCCAGGTGGTGAGAAGTTGTCGATTGTCAGCTTGTGCTTTGCATGCCATGACAAACGACTTCGAGGGGGGGAAATCTGGGAGCATGGTTCCAGTGCTCGATGTGCCAACCCCTGGCTACGCCACTGAGTCTCCTTTTTATGCTGCAAGGCGCTGAACCAGAATAATGAAATTTAGACAAATCCGTGTACTACCCACCATTAGTACTAGCTGAAGGAAACTCTGTGGCACCTGCTATTTATCACCTATCAGTATGGATATACTTTGCTCGTCTTCCTTCCAGGAAGTAGCAATGCCAGCACAGGCTCTTTCCTCTGGTCTGAGGCGTCCCGGCGCGAGTTTGCCTACCGAATAGGCTGCTACAGGGCGTTCGAAGACCACTTCCACAAGGGCCGTCCCCAGGACGTGGACTGGATGACGACACCCCTGAAGCGGAACCTGTTCGCTTGGCTTCGCGCCGCCAGGGTCGCTTACGAGGCCATGAAGACGGACTACGTGGCGTCCACGACGCGCGGAGGAACGCTGCCGCACCGCGTCACGCCAGCTCTGTGGAAGTCCGCGCAGATGGTGTTCTTCCGCCGCTTCTGCCTGGTCGCCTGCGGACTGGACCGCACGGAACCTCTGAGCGCCCGTGACAGGTGCCACTGGCCGCTGCTCAACATGGCCGAATTCGTGGACGCCTTCGGCTGTCCCAACAACTCGTTCATGGCGTCCAGGCAGAGCTGCCATTTTTTGTAGATGGCAGACTCGCGCGACGTCATGGACGCTGCTTCTCACTGGCTGATACCCTAAGAGGGCGGCCATGGGGACGTAAGTGGGTGTAATATGACGACGTGTGCATCATCGCCCGCCAGATGGTGGAACTGATTATCACCGTTACTATGTAAAATAAGCACGTATACTCCTATCACACGTAATGTGTTGTGACAATATAAAGTTTTGGAATAGGCTACTCAGAGCCTCGAGTTATCTTTTTCGTTTGCTGCCAGTGCGCACGCTTCATACTCTGGCTTATTGGGTGCCCACGTTAAATTGCGAAAACAGTGTATCATATCCAACAAAAGCCACCTCTGCGTACCATATTCTAAAGCATCGTTCACACCATTTGCAGATCCAAGAAGTGGACAGGCGGATCTGGAAAGTGAACGTGGATTATCCGCAGAAATGAAAACTCCGCAGCCGCTTGCCCGAATCGCGCCCGCACAAATTTTCTCAGCACGGAAAATTTGGCAGCTTTGGCCTCAGCCAACCAGTGGCCGAGACGCGTGTGTGCAGTATCGCGTAGTACCGCAAGATGCCAACATGTCTACCGTTAATTGGTGGATTGCTCCATCCCGTCAGCACGGAAAATTTGGCAGCTTTGGCCTCAGCCAACCAGTGGCCGAGACGCGTGTGTGCAGTATCGCGTAGTACCGCAAGATGCCAACATGTCTACCGTTAATTGGTGGATTGCTCCATCCCGTCAGCACGGAAAATTTGGCAGCTTTGGCCTCAGCCAACCAGTGGCCGAGACGCGTGTGTGCAGTATCGCGTAGTACCGCAAGATGCCAACATGTCTACCGTTAATTGGTGGATTGCTCCATCCCAGCCGGGATGGAGCAGCCCCGGCTGTGGTCCAGCCGTGCACCCTCGTGGCCCCCGCACTTTGAAAATTCGCTTTGTCGCTTGCGTGCGCCGCGTTCGGTGTGAACGCGCCTTAAAGCTGCATTTTCCCGACTTAAGCACATTTTCAACGTGGTAAGTTAATAAGATGAAAACGTCGGTTTGGATACATTGCTAATCTAAATGCGCGCACTGTACGACGACACACTGATCTGCGTAGACAAAACTGCGCTGGTCATTATGTATGTTAAAGACGGTATAGTCTTTCTTGGGGACCTTCGACGCAAAAAAATTGGTCTGTGTGTACATTTGTCTGTTTGTCCCCCCTCAGTGGTACTCCAAATGATGGACCCCATCCACAGCGCCCACCAATATTGTTCAAGTTTTAGTGTTCACATTTGTGCGATTGTCAATTAAAAAGCGATTATTGCGCATATCTGAGGCACCATAACAACACGTCAATATTCTATGTGTGTGCCTTTATACTAGAAAAGGCATACATAAGTAATTCTAAGGACCGTAGCGTTTATCACGCTGCACTGATAATGCAATGCTTGCACTAAAAGGCAAGTGTTTCTAACGCTTTGCTATGGAGACATGGTGGCGGCACCTACCCGTCGCCTTGCGTTCTACACCTTATCACCTCCAAGATGGGTGCGCACGCCCCGCGCTTCGTTTTCCAAGAAAACTGCCAGATAGCGCTCATGTCTTACGTGTGACGTGACTCGATGCGCTCGTTCGCCTCCGCTGCATGCTCGAGACACTCTAACGCAGCGCCTCCAGAATACCATTCACCAATTTTCTTGCGCAGAACATCAAATAAAGGTTTTGTTCACTCTCTCCAGACGCAAGAGTGTCGTCTTTCGACGACATTTGCAGATAACATGCATATACGGGGCCACTTTTTTGTATTGCCATTTAGTGTGCGTATTTAGATATAGGTGGATATGACAACCCAAGATGGCGATCACGATGCAAGGGCGTAGGCAAATGCAAATTTTTTTTGGGGGGGGGGAGGTTGCGGTGCCCCGTTGTTCTCAAGAGTGGACCGGGCAGGCAAATGTCCATTTTGCTCTACGCATACCGTGGCGAAAAAAATATTCGGGGGGGGGGGGAATGTTCAAGCCCTACACCCCTGTTACAATGACGTCAGCTGCAACCGTGGGTGTTCACGTGACGTCACAGGCACAGCTGTTCGTTGCGCTGGTACGTAGGCACAGAGACGATGATGATGTGGCCGCTATGCCACTGGGTAACTATATTGTAATAAAGTTTCACGCTGTAGAAAGAAGCTGTAAATATTCACTGTATTATCGTACCGTTCTATAATGACATTTTTTAGCCAACCGGAGAAGCCATCGTAGCCTTCTGGATCAGTACCCGGACTCACAAGATGGCCAACTTCACAATACTGTGACGTCGTTGCGACGTGTACAAAGACAGCAGTAGGCTTCTTGAAGGTGAAACGCTTCATTTGGCCGAAATGATGACGGTGAAACTAAAAGCAAGGTCACGGCAAGCAGTGCACGCTGTAAACTGTTATCGGCGCACAGTGCGTCGGTCGTCAATCAATTGATCATCGTTGAGACGGGCTGTCTTTTATACATCACGTGTCGAACTTTCCAGCTTTATCACTGGTGGTTGCGCAAGCTCTGGAATAATTTTGAGTGTTCGCGTGCTGCGGGATACGTTAACAAAATAATTATATACCACAAACGTGAAGCTTCTTGAGAACTGAGGTGTGATGTGCGCCGCGTATTGCTCACAATATTTGTGGGTTTTGCGCGAACACATCAAAATAACATGAGCCGCAATTCGGTGGTGTTCGCCTCCATTTAGGAGGACAAAAAAGAAAACATGGGAGGGTCACGTAATCATCTTGTGGCCTAAAGCCTCTATTATATCCCTGAGCCACCAAATATGAACAGGCGCATCTAGCTTGCTAATGCTGGTGGTGTGACGTCAGTATCCTTCCTGATTTTAGTGCTTCCTCAGTGTCATACACTCTGTGCCAACGCCTATGCCCACTGAGCAGCAGAAGTGTGAGATTGTTTAGCACACATTTGGTTGCGAGAAGGCCCAGTAAAAAAGAGACACAAGTTTTATGTTTTTAAGCATTTTATTCCTAGCGGAAGACCTTCAGGTCTTGCTTTGGACTGCTTTGTCGACGCATTTCTGTAGATGAAAACAGTAAAAAAGTAGGTTAGGTTAGGTAAGGTAGGTTAGGTTACGTTAGAGTAGGTTAGTTTTCCCCTTTCTTAGGTTAGGTTACGTTATGATGATATATGTCGGATACAACCTAAGCATAAGCGTAGGCTCCGCCCTCTTATTTGCGGCGAGACTGTCATTCATCTGGCGTGCTAACTGCAAGTACATTTGTGCTGATAACGTTAATGCCACGCATATAATAATAATTACATGCCTCGTCTTTACCTAAAATTATGCGTTTTATTGAGCAGTGACGTCAGAATATTAGCTGGAACTAGTCATGAAGTTCAAGTTCTTGACAGAAAACCAGCGACCCCAACATGGGAAAATCGCCAAAGTGTAATATACGAAAGCTACTCACGCCACAAAAATGTAGCTAATGTTACTGGATCGGTAGTCTGCACGAATTCTCGACGGTTGAAACAAAGATGGCTTCAGGCGGATGCCTCATTTATTCCTAGGTTGTAACCGACTACGAGCTGGCTTTAAAACACGTCGTATCGCTGTAGCGAATCTTTGTTCCAGAATGAAGAAAAGAAGCAACAGCGAAGCAGGGAAAGACAGGCAACTGGATGAGCGTTCATTCTGTTGCCTGTTATGCCCTTCGTTGTTGCCTCTTTTCTTCGTGTTCAAACTGAGCTGTGCAATAGACTATTTTACCTAAGTCATGTGGGCGCCGCCATCTTCGGCTTTTAAGCCGATGTTGTCTGGTGTTTTCTGTTTTGCAACTTGTATTAACAAGGCCATGAAACATCGTATGAGGAACCCAACTGTTTCGTGCGTGACCGTCTAGCATAACACTGTTCGTTCAGTTGTTAAAAATGCAAAACACAATGGTTAACAGTCCAACATGGCGGCACCTATAGCCACCCGTCTTTAGATCGGACTTTTCATCGCTTGCAGGGGGGCATCCATATTTGCTAAGGGGCTGCTGATTACGTAGAACGGGCGACAACGTTAGCACCTAGCCTGTTCTTATCATATCATGACCCACTACGGCGTCTCTCATAATCATATAGTGGTTTTGGGACGTTAAACCCCACATATCAATCAATCAATCAATCAATCAATCAATCAATCATATCATGACCGCCAACGTTCGCTCGCCATCGGCTGTGACGTAACAATTTCGCAGCACCTATGCTGGCCTCACCGAGAGATCACAACTGGGGTCAAGAATACGATATTTGCTGTAAACGTGTGTGCGTGAGTAAAAATAGTCAAGTCTGCGCAATACGACATTGTAATGCGCCGACTCGACTAATCTCCAATAATTTTCGATTAAAAACATGCGTGTGGACACTTACCAAGAAGATGAGAGAGAGAAAAAATGGCATTCAATTTACTGAAGAGCACCTACCCTTTCAGTAAACCTCTTGAAATGATGTGTCTTGAAGAGGAGCATTTGGTATGTACAGATGGGTTAGCCGTTAAAGGGAACACTTTCGGGTGCAGTATGTCCGAATTTCGCTCTCTGGCAAAAGCACTGTGGCTTTTCTTTGCGTAAGACTCCTGCTGGTTGACTGTTGCGAATTTTTTCGATAGACTATACTGCCATACACGAACAATTTTTCTGGGTCTTCTAGCACTAGTGAGGCCCGCAATTTGACAGGTAGGTGCCTAATAAAATGTTCCCATTAACAGTGGACGTTACTGTACACAAATACTGCGAGGAAACAGCGCGAAAACAGGACGAATGTGTTGCAGCTCCAATAACGTGAAAGCTGGCAAGGGGCGAAGCACGCAGGGTGCGCAGAAAAAAAAATCTTCACTGCTTTACTGCCCCGCCGCGGTGGTCTAGTGGCTAAGGTACTCGGCTGCTGACCCGCAGGGCGCGGGTTCGAATCCCGGCTGCGGCGGCTGCATTTCCGGTGGACCGACGTATGTAACTGCGCGGTAGTAAACACGGACGACAAGAAGATACAAGGACAAGCGCAGACTATCAACTGAAGGTTTATTTTTCACAAACCACATATATATGACTGAAACAGAAACAGAAAACACGAAAATCTACAAAAAATGATGACTTAGCACTTAACAATCGACAAAACGTGAACGTTTGACAAAAGCAGATTCAAGGACCATGTGCGCCACCTGCCAGATACCGTAGCTCTTTATCTAAAAGAGCTAACGACGGTTT